GCCACTGCACTCCAGTCTGGGCAACCGAGTGAGACTCCAACTCAAAAAAAAACCCAAAAACCAAAACACACACACACACACACACACACACACACACACAAAAGAAGGCAGGAAAGTGTCACCGTCAGAATCCTCCCCTTTCCAGGAGTGAGAAGGGGCCTGGGGCAGCTGTGAATGCATGACCCCATAAAAAGAGGGAATGGACACGCACGTCTGAAACCTGGAGCACAGCAGGGAAGAGCCCACAGCCGGTGGCTCCTTCCTCCCAAGTTTCAAAACTTCCTTTAGCTTAAAAGAAATTTTTTGCTCAATTTCTCACTTTCTAGGCCTGGTCCTACCAAGTCTCTGGCTGGAAATTGATCAGAGCTCCATATACCACAATTGGCACAAGCGCCTAAGCAAATTCCAGATGCCAGCTACCCAGGTTCAAATCTCACTCCAGCACACCAGCTGTGGGGTCCTGAGAGTCCTGAGACAGGATCACCTCAGAGGGCTGCTGGGGAGTGAGCTGGCAGTCAGGGAAGCCACACAGAACCTAGCACAGAGGGAGGGTTCAGTAAATATCAGCTATTCTTAGAGAGTCTTCAGGCACAAGGAAGAGACTGTCTTTTAGGATTTGGGACTGACAGAACAGAATTCCAATGCATCTAAACTAGTAAGTGCTATTACACACACACACACACACACTCTGACCTCCTCATAGGGGCTCCCTCAATTTCATTCTCAAAGTCAGAGAAACTTTAGAGTAGCAGTCTTCATTTACTCTGAAAGCAAGGCCCAGAGAGGGATAGCAATTTGCCTGAGGTCACACAGGCAGCAGGCAGCAAAGCAGAGAGCTGCTTCTCAACCCCGTCTCCTGGCCTCTCCACTTCGGCCCAGCATGCTCTGGGCTTCTAAAAGACTCAGGCTCCGCACCAGCCCACTTGCTTGCGGAATGCAGGGAGAGTCTCAGATTCTCCCTTCCCAAGAAAACATGGGAAGGGTGCAGCCACTCCCTCCCTCAAGGCCAAGGGCTTAGCTCACTCCTGGGGGAGGCAGAAATGTTCTGGGCTACAGAACTGGGGGGGGGGGGCAGATCCCATTCATGCAGGCTGATGTCACCCACAGTGGTAATAATGTAGTTATTATGTAGTGCCCTACCCAGAAGAGACTCCAGGACTCCAGGCCTGAAGGTATCCCCAGAGCCACTTCTGGAGCCCAACCTGCAGCCTCACCCACCCCACCCCTCAGCAAGGCTCCTCACTCCAGCCCCTTGAGACATGAGGAGAGGAAAACATACCTACCCTCTAATCAAGAAAGAGCCCATTCAATGGGAGCAGGTCCCACTCTCCTCCCCCACACCCAGTGACTCAGTGGCAAGTTTCTGGGGAAGAAACTGAGAGTGGGGAGTAGCTGTCAAACCCCCAGACTGAGGTTCTCAAAAAGTGCAGTGGAAAAAGGGTGTTGGGAAATCCCCTCTACCAACTGATAAAATAAAGTGGCCAGGCTGGGCGTGGGTAGCTCACGCCTACAATCCCAGCACTTTGGGAGGCCCAGGTGAGAGGATTGTCTGAGTTCACAGGTTTGAGACCAGCCTGGGTAACTTGGTGAGACCTCATCTCTACATAAATCAAAAAAGTAGCTGGGCATGGCGGCGCACATCTGTAGTTCCAGCTACTTGGAAGGCTGAAGCGGAAGGATCGCCTGAGTCCAGGAGGTCGAGGTTACAGTGGCCGTGAGCGTGCCACTGCACTCCAGCTTGGGCGACAGAGTGAGACTCCAACTCAAAAATAAATAAATAACATAGCCAACCCCTTCTGGCCTCAGGTGAGGGGGCACAAGCCAGCTCCGGGGTCTCCCTCCTCATTCCTAGTCCCTGACACCTGTCCCCAGACGGATCAGACCCTGTGAGTCCTTCCTCTCCCCCTAAGCACCTGCAGAACTGACTTAAGATCTAACTTCGGGGATGCACCATTCTTGCTGTGCTGCTCTCCTTCTGCAGCATGGATCTTGTGCTGTGAGGGAGGGCACCTGAGCCCCCCAACCCTGGACACCTGTAAGGCGTGCTACCGCCTCACATGCGGTGTCGCCTGTGGCCACCTGTCCTCACGTCCAGCGCCCCTGCCCCTCTCCCGCGCCACGACAGCTTCTCCCGGCTCTTCCCCTCGCCCCGGCCCGCCTGGCCCGCCCAGCCCGCTCCCCGTGGCCCCCGTCGGGGCTGCGGGCGGGAGCGGCCGGGACAGGAGAGGGGGGAGGGCAGGGCGGCCCGAGCTCACCATGGCGAAGCCGGAGAGCAGAGCCGAGGTCCGGCTGGAGGCTTTGAGCTTGGCGCGGCTCAAGTAGAGCTTGCGCCAGGACAGCGCCTGCATCGAGTGCTCGTTGAGGCTCATCACCTCGGAGTAACTCTGGCCGATCCAGTCCGGGTAGCTGACGGCGGGCGGCGGCGGGGACCCCGGGGGCTCCCCGTCCCCGCTG